TTGCTCGGTGCCAGTTGAATTTTGGCGAATTGACGCTAGCCCTCGAAGCTCTTAAGCACTTGAGGAGAATACCTACGAGTAATTTTTAGTATGTACCCCGACATACTAAAAATTACTCGTAGGTATTCTCCTCAAGTGCTTAAGCGCCATACCCGTGATATAGTCATCATTTTTTCGGAACAGTATAGTCTGCTGTTTTTTCATCTTTCTGGGCTGATGTAACTGCATTGCAGGATCGGCCGCTCGCATTCAGCCTATCGTGTAATGGGGTCAGTCCCTGCTCAACGAGGTGGCTCTCGTGTACTCTCAATGCTGTGTGAGCCGCACTTTTATGTGGTAAACACTAAGTATTTATCTTGCAAAGTTGTATATCGCTCAATTCTGTTATATCAAAATTGGAGGCCCTTATCAATTCTGGGAAGGATTAAAGCCTATTGGCCATAAAGATGTCACTTTACCTCATCCTCCCCGTTCGCGTAAATCAACGGCTCGGGAGAAGTGAGCAACACGCGGTGAAGCGTGCTAAACGATTTAAGTCTTCCTCAGTGAGTATGAGTATACGGACAGGCAATTTCTGTTTCATGTTCTTAATACTCGATGATAGCTATTTCCGCAATTTATGTGGTGTTCTATCAGAGGCTTTGGAGGAAAGCGCAATCTGACCTATAAAAATTATAAGTTATTGCTTCCTATCGGTGTTACTGGCACACCTGGCTGCGGCTGCCTCAGGCCGTTGCGTAAAAAAACGTAAACCCAATAGATAAGTGCATCAATTGCTGAGTATAAAGTTACCTATCGGCGACTGCCCGCTAGACGTTAATGGCACCTCAGCGTATAATCAGCACAGTGTGCCTCTTACCACGTGATTAACCCTGTACATCTGTCCATCAGTTTGTGAATGGTCGGCTGTGGACATTATCAGCCTAGTCTTCAACGGAGCAGCATTTACAGAATGCAGCATTACTCGAAGAGATACGATAAGGGTTCGGAATGAAGGTTGGGTCGAAGTCCATGAAGCGTTCTTTTGCAGGAAAAAGAGAGTATCAATAGGAGTCATCCCACGCTCATTGAGTCTTGCCACCTCAGATTCACAGTTGCCAGGCAAATGCCCTACATCTACAACATTTCTCATCTAGCAAAAGATTACTCTTTAGAGTACTCGGTTACGGTAGCATTTGGGTACTGTAGAAACTTCACCCTTGTATTTCTCTTGGTAAAAGGTCCACCTCTTCTGTTTTCTATCTTGGTGCAGCTCTGCCACTTTTTTTCCCGGATTATGCTCATGTATATCCGAACCTGAAACGCTAATGTTCACCTGCCAATGGCACGGTAACCTTCATAACGATCCGGGAGACTCGACAAAAACACGTGCGGTGAAAGAAGGCGAATTAATCAGCTCCCTTATCCCAGCCGCGAGCGAATTCTCGTGACTGACATCTACATGTGCACTGAAATATGGTTATGATACTCATGTGACAGAGACCGAGCGGCATGCGGAGCATGCACATGAATACTGATACTATGTGGGAGATAAAACAAAATGGATCCAGTATGCATAGGGACCAATCAAGAGATGTGCAGCTACTGTAATGACACAATCTCATTCCATACAAGCTTATACATCGTGTTGAGAGAAAAACTTTGAGAGCATAACAACGTCGACACAAACAAATTGAAGACATTATAGGCAAAAGTACTCAAGTCTACATTACTAACAGCGCAGGGCTTTTAAAAGATGAGGCGCGCGCGACGCATTGCAAGATTATGCAAAAGAGGAGCTACAAGTCTGCAGGGCATCATTGGGGCCTCGCGTGGAGGAGTAAAACTTAGCAACCACATGGCTTAGAGGCTGCAACCGCAATTCGCGTCCACGGGTTGTCGTGTACGGTGGAATCATCTTACCAAACGTTTCCCTTGCTACACCTTCACAAAGGCATGATGCGGAGAGTGCACGCGCAAGGTGAATAAATTCGGCAGCAAAACAAACGTAGTCAATTACTGAGAGCGCAACGTATGAAGAGCGAAGTCAAGGTTGCAGATCGCCAAATACAATACGAAAGATCCTCGCAGCAGCAGGCCATAGGATAGTTGCAGCTAGGTAACCTAGGAACTGATGTAAATAGCATCGTCATTCGTCAGGCACCGCTCCAGACAACGCAGCAGGCCATAGGATAGTTGCAGCTAAGTAACCTAGGAGCTGATGTAAATAGCATCGTCATTCGTCAGGCACCGCTCCAGACAACGTTGGGAAGCGTGAAAAGTGTCATCCTAGCGACGCAAGCATTTTGCAGAATTGTGATCAGTGCAAACTAAAGAAGACATGCTGAATATTTGATAATGTTCTCCTAAGTAACAATGACATATAGAAGATAAAGCTCTTACTACCATAAGTGTTTTACATGGGAGATGACCTGCCTTCTATCCAACTTTTAGTCGTGGAATATAGTCATTGAATGATCGAGTTGATGTTGCATGAATGGGAAAGTAAGCCTCCTCCACCGCAACCAGCCACTCAGCGGCCGCCGCACAATTATGGAAACAAAGCCACGAGGGCATACAATCGAGGCGTTGGCTTTTACATCGATTGGGTCATAACACCTCGAGAATGCGAGACTTGCAATCATTCGTTAGGATGAGAGCAGTCGCGGGACAGTGTGGATGCACACAAACGGTTTCATTGGTGACTTGGGTCGTTATTTAGGCCCTAACTTCCATCCCGCGACGAAACCGCCTGTGATATAGGCTGTTTTGCGGAGTCACACATCATTGACTCAGACATGGAGCGCCAGGCTGAGGTGCAATATGTCATCGTTGTTGATCTCGATCCTGTTACACTGATGGAAAGTAAAACGTTTATGCATGAGCACAAACCTATCACGCAGCTGTGCTTGCCATAGATTAGCAGAAACGAGAGGGTAGGTCAGAAGCGATTGTCAACTCGGTATTCAGCCTTCATGACAAATCTTTGAGGCGACAATAATAGACAACGTGAATATGGAAAACCATCATCTTTACTATCTCACAAATAAGGTAAAAACGGTCGCAAATTTTAGCACAACATATGTGTACCAAAGAGTCCAGTGCGAGCAAGAATAGCTGTGCCAAGCTGCTAGTTAACAAAAGACAGTTTGTGACGAACACTACAACGGACTTAAACATGTGTATCTAAGTGAAGGATTTAATATGATAAGGTGTCATCAAGGATCGTTCATCAAAACACAACAATGAGAATCTGACCCATTCAAAGCAAACGTTTCATGCTAACAACGTCTTTAGCCCAATTGGTAAATCCAGTGATTCTTCCAGCTTTTCATTCGGAGAAAGCTTGTATGCACCTATGCGCTGAAAAGCGTCAAATGAACGATGACAATTTCATCGATTACAACAGCACTCTCATTACTTTTATCAGACGATTGTCGATTTATCAGATGAATTAATTGGAAAAAAAATGGAAGCAAAGTGCTGCATGCTACTATTCCTTTCTGATTCCTCCTTAAGGGCTGACGGATAACTAAGGAGTCCTGATTATGATAGGGCGGGAATAAGACCAGACCTAAGACTGTGTGACTGGGTGTTCTAAAGCTGTCTAACTGAGGCCTCATGTAACTCATGTCATTCTTGCGATAAATAAGCGCTAAGGTCCGCGTGCACAATTAAATAACTATGTGTCATTATGCGTAATGAGCTAGACCTAGCCATTACATGTACATCAATGTATCTTCCGCGTGGATTGCGAAAATTTGGAACAAAGGGACCTAGATGTATATCTGCACTTGCATCTTCTGTATGCATTGTGGGAATTTATAAAAAAGACGTTAAAGTATGATGTTTCCGCGTGACATCTTAATTAAAGTCTCAAACATTCTTTGTAGTACAGAATGATTATTACTATTTGGGAATTTGTACTGGTGACAAGAACAACGTCTTGCTGTCGATTGAATTGGGTTGCGTAAGCCAGTCATGCTACTGGAAATTCTGCAGAAAAGTTGAGCTTCAAGCTTTATGAATTTCAAGCTCAAGCTCACTACATCCTTCATTGTGTACTTCACATTTTAATGACCCCAAGTTATATTAGTTAGACCCCTAGGAGCTCTTAGAGTGTTTTGCATGTAACCACTATTTCACTTTTGTTAAATTTGCCCTCAAGCTTAAACCGATCTTCTTTCCTCCCAGACGAATCTGTCCTTTTTCCTGCAAGCTAAGACTGTCTTTTTCTATCCAAGTCGGATTTCCTTGTCACGTGTGTTGTATATGCGTTTTAGGTACTGTTGTGATCAGCGCCCTTTTACATTATCTTCATCTGTTATCGGCGATTCGCGTGACTGACCATCTTGCCTTCTTTTTAAGAAATAACATTTAGCTTCCACAATGACCATCAACAAGGCACAAGGATAATTGGTGCGTAATCTCAGTACCTGCTTTTCTTACGGAAAGCAATACGAAGTTATGTATAGAATAACCTTGTGTTCAAGATTCGCAGCAGTGATCGAGTATCGCCAAATGGAAGATGACAAGGAGCGTATACGGCGAGTGTTGCTCCAAGACACATTTTCGAATCAGGAAAAACAGATGTCATTGCATATCCGAAACGAAGACATGCTCAGTTGATCAACGTGAAGACTTTCCTTTTGACGTATTCGTGTATATCGTGTATATTAAGATTAATGAAATTACCAAAATTAGGATTCTATAGCTTAATGCACAACTGCAATTGCGTGACAGATGTAGCAAATAACTGCCATCAACTGAGTGTTACCATGATATAAGGCATGGCGAAACCTCGGAAAATATTGCATCGGAGTGTCGTGCTATTCGCACAAAGGAAACTGCGGCCCTTAATATATGCGCTAAAAACGCTCGGCGGCTCAAACTTGAAGCGGAATTTGAGCGTCTTAGACACCTAGAAGCTCTGCTATTCCATACATACATTTATGAGAATAATACTATATGTACAATTTACTTATTCTAATAATCAAATTCAATTTCGTGCAGTTGGCAGCCCACAAATAACTTGGATTCCTCATTTTGAAGCGCAGTAATTACCATAAATACCAAATTTCGGTACTTGCAAATACTTACTTTCACTCCGAATGTGATGAGAATTTCGCATTAAAGTACCGTACTGTAGTCATAAAAATGTATAAAATACACACAATTACAGTGCTTTTCCTGTTACACCCTATCACACTAAGCCGTGCACCACAGGGTGCTTACTCTATTTTTATCTTTAAAGACTGCGCAAAAGTGACCGCTCCACAAGCAGCCACTACACCGGGAGTTTTACTTCACTCACTGAGCTGTCACGTGCTTGCTCTTCTGGGCTTAATTACAGCAATAGTCGGCTCCCATGCACCAAATCAATTGGTTCTCTACCGAAATTGCGATTTTCTCGACCGTCGAGCTGTAAGGTTATTTGGTGTGTGCAGCGCGGCTGCCGTAGCTTTGCGCTTTGAGGAAACGTAAGTTAGATCACCGACCTCTCGTTCGATACTCAGAACAAGTACGAGCTTAGCGGATCGCAATCCGCTTACTCCAACAGTAATTATAGCCTTAACCAAAGGCTAATTCACTCTCCGGTTTGAATTAAAAAACTGATTTTTTTATTTTTATCCGCGGCAAAGCCGCCTAATTTTAAATGCATCGGTTTCCCTAGAAAATCATGTATAACTACTCGCTATCCATCCCCGTACCGTATTCTTGTTTGGGTGTGATTACACCTTACTCATCTCGTGTGACCCACACCCCTGTTACCAGGGTATGTGTCACCCCGTTACACTCCCCCCCATTAAGATTGAGAACATTTACAGTTCTATTCGATTATTGCTTCAATGAGGTTTGTGTGTCCGTTTGAATCTGCGTTGGAACGAAACGACTTCCGTGCTCAATGAGCCCTGTGTCAGTGACACCGAAGACTCCAAGTCTCGCTGGTTCCGCCAGCGCTCACGGGCAGAGCCCAACTTCATTTTCCACACGCGGTGCCATGTCAGACCGTATGTCTGCGGCATCGAGGGATGTAAATTTTAAGCTCCATGATCCCGAGCGTCGCGCTCCGCGCACGCTATCAGGGACGAGTGACCTCGTTGGGGATGTGGAGGTGGTCGACTACGAATCTGACACTTTTTCCCGGCCCGTTTTTTCGGGTGGAATGACGTGAAAGGCGAGCCGCGCCAGCAGCGTCAAACGAGCCCTGCTTGCGCCTTGTGGACCTCATGTCCGTTTCCTGACCTCTCATCACTTGAGAGACTTGGTTTCATCACAATGACCCCGACAGCTTTCAGAGGCGGCAGCTGGAAGCTGTCCGTAAGGCGGCTCCGATGCGCGCTCATCCACGGTCAGTCAATGATCCTCGTGTGGAATATGGCTTTTGCCCGGTGGATCCCACTGTAGAAGTGAAGGACGAGGTAACTCGATCGTTACGCCTCCGCACCATCGCCCCCCCCCGGCCATTACGGAAGCTAGGCTTGCCGAACGGAAAGCTCTTCGAGCTC